TTACAATTCAAGACAAGATGGTAAGGTTGCCCCTGAGGGCTTACAATCTAAAAGAGGAGGGGGTAATGATACATGAGGAGGTAGCTGTGTGGGGATGAATTATTTGAGAATGTGATGGTTCAGTGGTTAGGTTGAGGTGGGATATAATATGCAAATCCCACAATGTATTTTATGAAGGAAAACACCACGATATATACTTATACTATTATGGATGCACCAATACCGATACTAGTATTGGAAGCGGTGCCGATGCAGAGTATTTGGGCGAGTACTCGTACTTGCCCAAATGCTCCGATACCTTCCCCGATACTGGAACTTCCGGTGAGAGGAAGATTTCCTCTTACTGGCAGTAGGGGAACTTGGAGCCAGCTTCACATGTGATCGGGAAGCTGGGCACCAAGTAATGACCCTCCTCTCGGCTTTCTGATTGGCCAAGCAGCTGGCTCCATGCCGATTGGCTGGGAAGCTGGCCTTCCGGCCAATCAGCATCGAGCCGGCAGAACAGCCAGGAGAGACCTTCGGGCTGTACTCTGCTTGTAGTGAGTCGGAGCTTTGCCACCCCCTGGCTGTCATGGCATCCTCCCTGAGCAGGATGTTCTCCAATCAGCTGCCCGGTCCCCCTCCAACTATGCAACTGAGCGGAGCTGCCAGGCTCATGTCCACCACGCCTGGGGCTAAGAACCCCAGGAACAGCACTTTTACTACACAGCTCCCGATGAGCGATCCCAGTACATCCTCCTCCTAAAACACTTTGGCCGGATCTGGATGGGAATAGTGACAACGGAGGATGAGACCAGCCAGAGAATCAGCACAGAGCTGCACAATGTGATCCTACAGAACGGGATCTGTGTTGTGTTCAAGAAAATGATTACAATTATTCATAATTACACAGCATGCAAATGGGTATTATATGAGATATACACTGAGTGACCAGCTTATTATGACCACCCCATCAGTACTTCGTTGAGCCACCTTTTGCCTTCAATACTACTTCAGAAAAAAAATCACTTCTACTGTCGTGGCAAACAACCTGCTTCCCTATTTATAATGGTCTGGCCCTCTAACAACTTCAGCGCAAAATTATAGCTAATTATAGCTAATTTGCCTACAAACGTCAGGCGGTCATAATAATCTGGCCACTCAGTGTAAACGACAAACTGCAACATCTTATTTTTTAGAGAAAAGTGATTACGAGATTTCAGGTTTTTTTTAAATGCCGCAAGAGAAAAGTTGTCGTCCTACCCACAATGTTTATCATAAAACTGTCTATCAAAGAAACTGAAACCGGCACATTACACATTGCCCTACACAAAGGGAATATTCCTCAGATTTCCAGATGAGCGCCGGTTTTAAGAAATATCCAAACGTATAAATTTATTTATTTTTAATCTAGAGGAGGTATTTTAACTAGGGATGAGTTTGACTTGACCATCGCTAGTTTGTGTGTTTGCCGAACACACAAGCTATCAGGGCGTTCGGCGGGCTGTTCACCCGCTGAACTGCCCCACAAGGCAATGTGCCTTGTGAAGCCCTAATTTGCTAAAGGTACGGCTGAAATCAGCCGTACCAGCCTGAAGTGAATAGCTGAACAGTGTTCGGCTCACTTCACTTCAGGTCGGTCATTCACTCGGCTGCCCTCGGCAGCTTAGTGAATAGACCTGTAAGACAACACTTGCTGCCTGGTATACCCCACAAGGGTTGATGGACTTTGCTGTAGAATAGCTCCCCGGTTGAGTCCCTCAGGTACACTAGGGGGATTATTCACTAAGCTGTGAAAGGCAGCCGAGTAAATAACAGACCCGAAGTGAAGGGAGCCGAACTTTGGCTGAACCGAAGTGAAGAACATGTTCACCTCAGCCAATCCAACATCTAAATCGGCAGAGGCGAACGTTCGACAGTTCTTTCCCTGGTGTTCACCCCTATTCCCATGCAGCATTTGGCTCGGTTATTCAAATAACAAATAAAACCATCTTTTTTTTTTCTTCCTCCCAAAAATAAAGTAGCTGCAAAACTCCACTTCTCAAACATGTGAGCAGCCAGAAGCTGGCAGAGAAGAGGCGCGCGAGACAGGACAGGAGAAGCTTTGGCTGAAGCTATCGGAGATATAAGTTTGCTTCCTGGTACAAAGTTATTCTATTCTGTTAGCGAACTGAATATAATTTTTTTTTTAAAACAGCGTGGGTTCCCCCTTCCAAACCATACCACACTCTTTAGTTCAGACCCTTTAGGTCTGGTATGAATGGTAGGAGGGACCCCGAGTTTAAAATTTTAAAAAAATGCAATGGGTTCCCCCCAAAAGCCCGCCGACCCGATCCGAACTCCAGCACCTTTTAGATTGAACAATTTGTCAGTTACAGCTGAATGTCAACAGATAGGCTAACTAGTGGTGACATCACCGATAGCAATTTGACAGGTTCCAGCTGAATGACAACATATGGACAGAGCCAGCGGTGATCTCACTGCTAGCCCCGCCTATCTGTTGACATTCGTCCGTCACCTGTCAAACTGTTCATTTTGACAGGTGCGTGAGTTTGGGTCGGGCAGGCAAGCCTTTGGCGGGAACCCCACACATTTTTTTTTATTTTTAACTGGGGGTCCCCCAGACCTAAAGGGTTTAGAATGGTTTTTTTCAGTATATTATTAATGATGCATTTCTTTAATTTTTGCAAAAGGTGAACTTCTCCTTTAAGCTCTCAGAGATCCCTCAAAATAATTGTCAGACCTACTGCTCACAATAAATCAGCATGGTTACTATAGAAAATGTATTTGTAAATATAATAATAAATAAATGGAAACAATAATAATAATAATAGCATTTTAATGTGGAAATCATGTTTGTTTTTTTGCTGTATAAATAATTAGGGGAAACAATAACTTTGCATTCACTCTCAGTGGCACAAAATATATTTTTGTTGGTGTTCATTGGCAAGAATAAATTTGCATTGACAATCAGTAGTAAGAACACTTTTCCCCCGCCGTGGTTTTCGAGGTCCCCCGCTCCTCTGGGGGAACTGTGACCACGGCATAGGAGCTCACCATAGAGCCCGTAGAGCAGACGAAGAACGTCCGTTCTTCTTCTTCTCTGTGTGATCACTGAGACCGTGGAGCTGTAAGCACAGCGCCACCTGTCTCAGCTGTCACTAACTGCAGCTGTCACAGAACCCTCCCTGTGTCCTATGGCCAGGTGCCTTATTGAGCGCAAAATACGATACTTTTTTTTCTATTAAATAAACAGTATGTATCAAAATCAGGTTTGGTTTTTTTTGGGGGGGGGCCTTAATGGTTTCTTGCACCGGGCCCCTGGGGTTTCTAGTTACGCCACTGACACTACCATTACATGGATGGTAAAAGTGTTAGGTAGGGGCGGAGGGTGAGGCAGAGCGAGAGGGGGGCCAAGTCGCTGCACCGTGGGCCTCTGGGCTGTACTTGCCCCCTGGGCTAAAAGTTGCCTGCTCACTAGTGACTTCAAGTGTTCGAATTCTAAAGGAATTGTCCTGCGGATATCCATGATTTCTGATTACCAGTGATGTCACTGTTCACTGTTCAGAACCTCTCTATGGCTGGACAGAAGGAGAAGGGTCCAGGGAGGCAACTCTCATTCAATGAATGTAGGAGCATGTATGAGTTGCCATTGCCAATCAATGGCCATCAGGACAGCAAGACTGGATATTCTGCAGACCGAATCCACCCACTAAAGGCACTAAATGGCATTAAAAATCCTTAATTTATATATCCACTTTCCTTCTGTTTAGCGGTTACCTGTAAATACATATATTGGTAGGATAAGGTCAAAGTATGTGGACATCTTTACCAAATGATTTTCAGATGTTTCCATTGAAGGGTATTGTTAATGCTACAGTATACAAATGATTATAGACCATAGCAAGCTGTCAATCTTGCAGCAATAGTATGTGTGGACCCTTTTCTGTTTCAGCATGATTGTTCCCGCTGTGCACAAAGCCAACTTCATAAAGATATGATTTGACATGTTCAGTATGAATACATTTAAGTGTCCTGCACAGAGCCCTGACCTCAACCCTACCAAACAACTTTGACGTGAACTGGAACACTGATTGTGAGCCGGGTCTTCTCCTCCAACATCAGAACCTGACCTCACAAATGCTCTTTTGGCTGAATAGGCACAAATTCCCCCAGACACACTCTAAAGTCTTGAGGAATGCCTTCCCAATTGAGTACAGACTATCATGCTGCAAAGCAGTCAACCTCCAGTTTAAGAACATTATATACATTATAAGAACATGGTATATTTATAGTTTTAGTCCGGAAGAAGCAGTATGTTGTCAGATCAAACAGGACGTTAGGAGCATGCTAGATTTGTGGAAGATCAACAGGTATGTATCTGTACTTGCAGCATTTTAAAAGGGATAAAACACAAGTAAATGTGCACACATTGCAGAGATGTTCTAAGTATGTTTTTTTTTTCAAAGATATACTAATAATAATAATAATAATACTAATAATAATAACAACAATAAAATCAGCGGTATAGTCCTCATTCAAAGATAATTGAATATCATACTGTATGCAACCATGTTCTTGAGCTTTAGTCCACAAAGAATCTTCTGACATAATCACGGGTAACTTTGATAGAAGCACATTTTAATCTGATATATGATACATATGTTTCACAAATAAAGATATAACAAAGGGTCCCCATGAAAAAGGATAATCAGAGCACTATGGGAACACACCACAAGCTGTTTTCTTTCCAACATGCTGTCACTGAATGAAACCCCAATTGAACCTAAATGGAGAGAGAAGAGTCATTGATCATATATTTATCCTGAGTGACTTTTATCGACTGTTGTTTTCTTTTGTTTGTATTTATAGCTCATTTCAGTTGTTGTTTTTGTATTTTTAATCAATAACCAACTGCTTTTACCAAACTTTAAGTACTCAAGAAAAGTTATTTATTTTGCTACAATTTATATTCCATGTATTACAGCATTACGTTTAATGCCAAAAAGTATTATATATTTTTACTGAAGTGCTTTTCTTTGGGCTACAATCACCTTCACATTCAGCTCCGGTCTCATCAGAATGATGTAACATTTGGGGATGAAGATGCAGCCCAGGAGTCCAGCACTGGAGGACAAGATGGCGAAGACCTCCACAGCCACCATGTATTTCCCTTTGGTGCTGAGGTAGGCTGGGATGAAGGAGATCCAAACACTGCAGAAGACCAGTATGCTGAATGTGATGTACTGAGCTTCATTGAACGTGTCTGGAAGTTTCCTGGCTAAAAATGCTACAATAAAGCTGAACACAGCCAGACATCCCATGTAGCCAATCAGAATGTAGAAAGCAGTGACAGAGCCCTCGTTACACTGTAATATCATCTTCCCCACCTCCACTTTGGTGTCATACTCTGGGAATGGTGGGGAAAAGACAAACCAGAAGACACAGATCACAAGCTGCCCAGAAGAGCAGATAATCAGGAGGAAAACTGAGAATTGTTTCATCATCCACTTGTTAATACTGTTAGGTCTGGTGACATTAAAAGCCAAAACAACAGTAACTGTTTTAGCCAGAACCGAAGAAACTGCAACAGAGAAAATTGTCCCAAAAACAGCTTGTTGGAGAAGACAGGAGATCTTTGTGGGGCGTCCGATGAAGAGCAGAGGACAAAGAAAGGACAGGATCAGTGAGATGAGAAGGATGAAGCTGAGGGTCCGGTTATTGGCTTTTACTATTGGAGTGTCTTTGTGTTTCACAAATATCCCAAACATGATAATAGTTCCAAAACAGAATAATAGAGCCATAAACATAAGAGAAAATCCCAATGTATCTCCATAAGACAGGAATTCAATTGTTCTTTGTATACAGCTGTCTCTTCTCTCATTGGGCCATTGATCCTCCGGACACTTATAACACCTTTCCATGTCTGAAAGTGAAGAGAAAGTTCTCATGTTTTGAGCACAGTTTCAGGAGGCGTGCATTTATCTGATATCACTATCATTACAAAGGCACAATGAGGGATTAGAGAAGAACAAGGCATAACTTTAAGTCTGATATTGCGTTATATATAGCTTGCATAGAGCTAGGGTCAGTAAATGAATTATTGCATCATGTGATCGACAGAGATGTAAACCAAGAACGGAATGAAGAGGAGAAGATGACTAAAAGCCGAGCAACTGGTGACTAGTGATGACCAAATCAGGAGGAATCGCTGATTGATGGGCTTAAACCTTTCTATGTAGACATTTATAATTTAAGGAAAATAACACAAATGAAGAACCGAGGCCATCAGAATGAAATCATTCTCTTCGAGATGGATATATTGTATATTCTGGCATTAATTCAGGAGAATACACAATAAAGAAATTGCATATTTTTTTCTGCTTTTACAACCAGTTCATCTCCTTTAACACGTAACCTTAATCCTAAAACTTAAAGGTCGATTTTGGACGGGTATTTTTGTTGTTTTTATTTAATAGTCCCCAAGCAGCATGAAAAAAGTTAAAAAAAAAAAATCTCTTGCTGCAATTCCTCTTGTGCGACGCTATCTGCCGCAGAGTCATCCACTCTGTGTCACCCAATCCAGCCAATATCAGCAGATCCTTAAAAGGTACCAACCGTTCTTATTGGTGATCTCATTCTCCGGGCAGGGTGCACAGTGGTGACAGCACGGTTGTCCTCCTTTATGTTGAAGTTTTTGGTATCCGGGGAGGCAGCTCTCGGAGCACAGAGAACGTGGAGTCTGAAGACAAAATCCAGTTACTATAATATATTTTGATTAATATTTAAGATTTTCTTTTAAAAATGTTCACCAATGGACACCAAGGTTGACTTAATGTACTTTTTGGAAAGCGTGAAGACTGCATGTTTCTAATATGCATTTATACTGTCAACCATTGTATTGTTCTTTATAAACATTCTCTAATGCTCATTACTCTCTAAGTGTCCGTTATTCTGCTCCCTTTGATACACATGATCTAAAGTAATCTCCAAAAGATCAGCCGCACAAAACCAGAGTACGTAAAATCCAAAGTTTTATTGAAGTAAATTCAAACAAATTCCGAGAAAAGAAATCCAAAGTATGATATGCAATATGTACATGAGAGGCGTTGGTGTGGGGGAGACTGACACTGATGTACATATTGCATATCATACTTTGGATTTCTTTTCTCGGAATTTGTTTGAATCTACTTCAATAAAACTTTGGATTTTACGTACTCTGGTTTTGTGCGGCTGATCTTTTGGAGATTGATTTGACAAGTGAGAAGCACACTGCAGCCTTGTAACGGACGTACCCTGCAGGGACCTGGTGTCGGTGGCCGTCGCTTTCCTGCGCAGGCGTGCCGTGGGTCAGCGGCCCCAGCTAACCGACGTGTGTTGGTGACGTCTGGTGCCGCTGTCCGTCGCTGTCTCGCCCAGGCGCATCGCGGGCCTCTTTCGTCTCTCCCTCCAGAGCCGTCTATGTCAGGCACAGGCGCGCCGCGGAACTCCTCCCCCTCCAGGCGCAGCACTCGGCATAAAGTCGAGGTGCAGGTAGTTGATCTGCATCTTTCTGGTGATCGTGGCAGGACGCTGATCAACTCAGCGCCTCACTCGCCTCTAACCAACCTGGACCCAGAGACTTCACCTGGACCCTCTCACAGACCATAAACCGCAAGTACCCTGGGCTATGTTATCGGAGAGACCCAGCACTCCTATGTCAGCTATAGCCTAAAGTATACCATTGACAAATACTGAATGCTCTCACCTGTGTTCTGCTACTATACCACCTGTGCTACCTCCATTTGAAGTTGTGACAAACCATAGATGCTCCTTCTATGTTAACAACTCCCTAGAAACCATTGTCATTAGTAACTTGCATTTCTAATTGTTGCATTGTTTACCTATACTAAAACCTGCCTGTTGCTGCCCTCTAGGGGACTCTGAGGAAGTGACAGTTTCTCTTAAACCAATTCACCAATATTGCCTGCCTTATACGGGGTGTGATGTGTTGCAACTAGGGATGCACCGATACCACTTTTTTGGGTCTGAGTACGAGTACCGATACTTTTTTTACATACTCACCGATACCAATTACCGATACTTTTTCTTAAAGGGGCAGATCACATTTTTTCCAAAGCAATACAAAATAATGATTTTAGGTCAGTTTCTTAATATTATGAAGAACTGTAACTCAAAAGACAACATGACTGTCAAAAAAATAAGTTTACTTTGCTTAAATTGTCACAAAGTTGTACTCAACGAAAGTTAGTAAAATCTCAACGTGCCATTTGAAAAAAGGCCACAAGATGGCGTATGGATAGGATGGAAGCAGATGGAATTGTGTAGAAAAGTGAAAAAAACTTAATTTAGCTTAAGACCTCATTCAGACAACTAACAGCCGGCCCATGTTATATTAATACAGCATGGTCAAAGATAAATTAATCTTTATTTTATATAATATTGATTAAGCAATGGAAAAAACTATTATTTTATATTTATTCATGCTGTATTCACTCAGCTATGATTCCCTGGCTGGAATCCTTTTTTTTGCACCTGTCCCCCCGCCTACTCTTAAAACTGGGCAATCTAGGGAGTAGTTGTTATCTGATACCCGTACCTATAACCTCCTCCTATCCGCAGTTGCGATCCACTGGGGAATTGACCCTCTCTTGAGGCGAGCCTTACTAGCCTGCATTTAGAGTATGAACTGATTGCAGACGGGGATGGAATCAGAGCAGTGAGTTGCCGGAGTTCTTTGACATTTACACATGATTTAAAGTGTTTCTAAAACCAAAAACCAAAATGGAATATATTGCAGCTCACCAGTCCTTAGATGTGGGGCTGCACTCATTTTTTTCAAGCTAAGAATATTTTAGAAACTACCCGTTAATCTCCCTAGAAATACAATTGTCACTCCCTGTGAGATGAACAGAAAGCAAAAACATTGTTATCTTTCTTCTGTAAACTACTATGTAATAGAGATGAACAAAGGCAGACATGTTTGATGTCCAGCCTGTATGACAACCACAGCTGCTGCCATAGATTCCATGGAGAGATGAGTGTAAACATCAAGAGACATGAAATGATTTCTGGTAAGCTGCAATACATAAAATGTTTGGTTTTTGGGGTCAGATATGCTTTAGACGGAAAGGGTCATCAATGATGGATGCTTTAGACGGAAAGGGTCATCTGTGATGGATGCTTTAATGGAAAGGGTACTCAATGATGGATGCTTTAGATGGAAAGGGTCATCAATGATGGATGATTTAATGGAAATGGTCATCAATGATGGATGCTTTAGATGTAAAGGGTCATCAGTGATGGATGATTTAATGGAAATGGTCATCAATGATGGATGCTTTAGATGTAAAGGGTCATCAGTGATGGATGATTTAATGGAAATGATCATCAATGATGGATGCTTTTTTTTCAGTGTGGTATTTTGGGGTTTTCATTTCTTTCTGTTTGATTTTTTGTTATTGTATAATGATAAGGCCCCATTTTTTAATTCAATTGTTTTTTGACCATCTGTTCATGAAGCTGCCTTTGGTGCATCATTTAAGAAAACGTGCAAAAACAGTGTTCACCAAAACCACATCAAATGTATAATACCTACAATCACAGCTATCCCAATAGCTAAAATAAAAGTTAGGCATACACCAGTTAGGCCTACAATCCTTGATTAAACCTATCTGGCTGCTGGCCACTTTCACACTGCTGTTATCATCTGCAGTATGACTGTGGCCAAGATTTCACCACTTTTCGGTGATATTTCATATGTGTATATCAACAACGCATGATGCAAAGAAATTTAACACGTTTTTAATGTGTTTTTAATGTTTTGTAAGAACAATAAAATTGCTTTTGATTTTTTTTATAAGAATATTGTGTAATGCTTCTTTCCTCAGTACTACGTTAAATGCCCCATTTGTTTCTACAATATAATTTTGCTGTATTTTTGGCATATTTTAATGCTTATAGTCAGTGCTCTTTGTGTTTTTGGGCCTAGCCTTGTATCATGTGTGGACTCTTAATTGTAGTATTTTAGGATCTGCCTGTACTCTCTGTCCCTAATACATTTTGGGTAATTCTCCAGCATTAAAAATGTCCTGCTGCTGGCCAATTTTACAATGCTGTATCATCTTCAGTCTCTTGAGTTTGATGGCAATTGGCCAGCAGAAGGACAGTTTTGCATCAGCAAGAATAGGGACAGCTTCAGCAAACTACTGGAGAATGTGAATCTGCTGGTCAGTGCGGACCTTTTACTGTTTGAGGAAAACAAAATGTGTTACTGCTAAAGCTACCTAAATTATATTAAGCTGAAATTAATTAAATTGGAGTGCTGCTGCTGCTTTTATTAGCCCTAAAAATGGTCCATAATGTCTAACATCAATTATTAACAGGATCTAAAACAGTATACGTCGAACCCATGGCAAATGTACCCATCCCTATTTATACCTAAAAATACTAACTTACAGTTTTTTATATATTTATATATACAAGGGGGGTTTAAACTTAAAATACTGTGAAATATGTGAACTTAAAATAAAATTCCTGATATACAGTATTTCATAAATATGGTCTAACTCAATCATTGTGTGCTTCTGTATTTTTACATTGTACCAAGTGAATCATGGATGAAAGGTTGAAACAGAAGCATAGCAATTGAGTTTCTGACAAAAGAGGGTTGTTAGGGTGATGAGATCCATACACGCCTGAACAAAGCATATGGTGATGTAGTAATTGACTTGAGCAATGTTAGGCGTTGCATAAAGAAGTTTAAAAAGAGAGAAATTGACATTGTTGACAAGGCTTTGAATGGTGGCATTCGAGATCTCCTCGTCCAAAGAAATTAAAATCTGCCAGAACAGAGCAAAAAGTCACATTGAACGTGTTCTCTGATGACCAAGGTATCATTGTTATGGACCTTTTGGACAGCAGGCACAACAGTCAAACCTACATTGGTACACCTTGAAAGCTGAAGGAAGCCATCAGGAAGAGAAAAAATAGTGCTCTGTGGATTTTATCCAAACTAGATTAGAGGTCTGAGTAGCATGATGGTGCAAATGCATTGAATGTGATGGGGACAATGTGGAAGGGTAACTCTAAGTAGAGGAGTTTATAGTCTGACTCTATGTATGTTCATTGTTTCCATCTCTGCGTAATTAAATATCCTATATCTCAACAGGCATTACTTTTTGCTACCTCCTCGCATATAGGTCCTTAGCCCACATAAAACGCACAAGTTGGGCTCAACATTCTTAATATTTTTCTTAAAAAAAGGCATTTAAAAGAAAATTTCTGGATACCTGAGAGAATTTTGGACTCCACTGAACTGCACTCTCATTAAGTTGGAGTCTCACTTCCTTCCCGTAATTGTAAAAATATCCAACAGTAATCATTGATAAGGATTTATTAGGTGTAAATACGATGTTTAACAGATCAAACCTGGTTGAGACTTTTCCTTCATTAAACTGTATCTCCTCTCCTCCTTTAGTTGTAATGTGCGCTCTCTGTATCGTTTTACTCGTTGTAACCTCATAACAATTGGTATTTTGTTGTGTTTTGGGGCATTTAATTAAATTTTTCACTAAATATTGGGGTTTAATAAGGAGTTGCGCTAATATTGCGCAACATAAAAATTTGCAACTACCACCATTTTATTCTATAGGGTCTTGGCATTCAGAAAATATATAATGTTGGGGGGTTTTAAGTAATTTTCAGGCCTAAAATGTGGAATATAACATGGGTACAAAAAAATGAAAAAAAGGCATCAGTCATGAAGGGGTTAAAGTACATTTTCCTAACTGACCAATCTTTCCCTTTGCAGATTATCGGCTTTCCTTACATCAGCTACCAATACACTGACAAAATGGCTGCCCCGAGCACCCCCCTTTTATAGTTAGGGGGTTGGCTTATCCAAAAGCCCCCTATTGACTATTTTAAGCCTGCTAGATATTCAGTATCATGCAGTGCATTATGGTTTTGAAAAAATACTCCTGGGTGAATCTGCAAATAAATTTGCCAGAACCTCCAACCCATGGCAGTGGTGGACCCAAACTTCATTCTTCTTCTTCTTCTTATTACATAGCACATTCTTAGTGCTGAGCACGTTTATATAACTAAGTGTTATGACCAGGGAAGGACCGGTATCAAGTATGAGTACGAGTACTGATACTGGTGCTTCCTCTGGCATGGAGCAGGCTTCCCAGGCAATCAGGAAGCCGGGCGGTGGGTAATGACATACTGCCCGGCTTCTTGATTTCCTGGGAAGCCAGCTCCATGTTGTTGGCCGGCTTGATTGTGGTTGGCCGGGAAACCGGCTTTCCAGCCAATTAGCATCGAGCCAGCTTCCCAGCCAATCAGGAAGCTGGGCGGCGAGTAATGGCACACCTCCCTGCTTCCTGAATGGCCGGGAAGCCGGCCCCATGCTGATTGCCTGGAAAGCTGGCTTCCCGGCCATTCAGCATTGAGCTGTCATTACTCGCCACTCAGCTTCCTGATCGCACGGAAAGCTGGCTCTGTGTTCCTCTACGGCACTGTCGGTCAGAGGAATCTTCCTCTGACCGGAAGTTCTGGTATCGAAGCATATGTGCGAGTACAAGTACTCACCCAAATACTTGGTATCGGCACCTATACTAGTATCGGTATTGGTACATCCCTAATAGTATATGTATGTATCTTGGTGTTTTCCTTCATAAAATACATTGTGGGATTTGCATATTATCACATTGTTTTTTTTAGGTGGCCAAGCACAGCAAGGCAGGATTTTAGTACTCGCCCAAATACTCGTATACTAGTATCAGTATGGGTGCATTCCTTGTTATGACAAATGTCATAAGATTTATGACCACTGGTCTTGCATGATGAGGTTGGGAGAGCAGCGGCCAGTCGGGCGACAAAGAAGAGTGGCTTCGGAAGACCGGTCTTACGAAGACTGTGGGAATGAGAAACAGGGTAAGTAGTTCACCTTATTCCAATACCCCAAGGCAAAATGAGCATTTAACCCTTGCAGTGCAAAGGGGGTCCCACGGCAAAATATACACCTTCCCAGACGCTGCTGGAAGATGTGAGAAAACTCCTGTTTATTACCCATTTGTCGACTGCTATATTGTTTATCTGTGCTCTAATTCAGCTCTTAGTGCTTTGGTTTTCCTGTGTTTAGTTGGCTTCTGTCACACTCTCATAATAGCCACACTGGACTAGGAACTGTGTATGTTATGTTGGGATGTATATGGCACTGAAACATTAACATATTACACCATTTTTAAAAGAAATCTCATAGGTTTTGTGTTTTGTCCATGCCCTCATTTTTGTTAGCACGTCATCCAGCATCTGAAATTTCTGCACTCAAAAAGTACCGGTCTGAATGCAAAGTGCAGTGGTGGCTGACTTGCAAAATTTAGACAGCCTGAGCTGTAACCAAAAGGCTGCGCTTAATGTTCAGTATACTGTATGTAAAGCTGGACTGTCAGAGAGTGAAGACAACTTCGAGGAAATGCTGGTCAGAGACTGTGGAAAAGCTACAGGTTTGTTTGAAGACAGAGAAAGACTGGAGGCGTGTTATATGAGGCTAGTAGAGATTACTTTGACTACCCTATTACAAGTCTATTGTGCCACACTCTCTGCAGACTGCTGGAGTTTTAAGGCCACTCTACAAGTACCAAATGGTCACATGTGTCCTTCAAGCTACAGGTTGAGTACCAGGGCTATAGTTGAACAGTGCCAATCCACCAACCAAGATTAGAAACCCTTGTCATGGTTTTAATGGTGTCTGTGTCCTCACTGGGGAAATTATCATCTCTAGGTTACCAGGACAGAAAGTGGGAGGAAATCTGAGATTGTTGTGACCTGAACAGGAATAGAAAGGAACTCTTCCAATGGGCACACTTGTTTCAGTGACAACTATCTAAGATGGGAGGTGTGCACCCTTTGGAGGGATTCCTCTTACTCCCTGTTGGGTCTACAAGACTGGAAGTGAAAGGACATCTGCTGACTACAACAAAAAAGGCAGAAAAAAAACCAAAAACATAACAGGGGTTATACCATTCCCTAGTGTATTGAAAATTAAAAAAATGCATTCTTAAACAATGAAACCACAGAGAATGATAATCATTAATGCTCCAGAATCTGACTAGGGACAGTCAGAGTTGCTTTCTTGTTCACAACTCTATTTCACATTTTGGTATCTGACTTAGAGCTCAAGGATGTTTACTTTTTGGGTTATGTAAAATGCAGAGGTCAGCATTATTACAAATATTATTACATATTTTACAAATGCATATATATATAGCATTGCATTTTTCTGCACTGTATTTTTCTGCACTGTATACATCTAATCTAGAGCTGTCCCATGCAGTACTTTCTTTTAAACAACTGGATATTATCAGTCTTCTGAGTTGAATGATGGCCGGCCTCAAATCAACCCATTTACTCTGAGCCCAGGCTGTCACGGACCTGCCCTATCATCATGCCATCTTGGATGTTCGCATGGCACTAACCCCACTAGATGGACTGAGGAGCATATGATTACAAAGTTATTTTAAATTCACATTCTGTGTTATGTTACCCGAGCATATTCCTTGTACCTGCCATAGGTGGCAATTTTGGGTTCTAGCCTCAATGACCTTATTGTGTAAATATACATCATGTGGGGCGTATGCCAGGGCATAAACTGCAGAGTACACGCTGAAAGTGTAGCGAAAATTTTCCACATCATAACGAGAGGGATCCACAGAACGGAAACTATAAGACTCTCTGCATGCTTTATCATAAGACTCTTTCTCAATAGATTCAGGCACACAAGAGAATTCATCTCTCCAAGCATCAAAAATCATGGGGTTATCAGGATATTTCTCAGGGTTGATATCAAGAAGATAATCCTTCAGTCCCGGAATATTCCCTCTGTGTAAATCGACCAGCAGAGAACCATTAAGAGCAATAACAGACTCGTGGTTATTATATATCTGGATAGCTCCGAACAATACAAAGATCTTCCTTGAGGCTGAAATATCGCTAACCACATTGATTAGACTATTAGCCTTTGCATTACCATACACAATTACAATGCTGCAAGTTAATTGTGAAAGGCTGTGATAATCTTTTTCACTTCTCGCAATATCATAATGGTCAGCTAGAGTGACAGCAAACTCAACACAAATCTTGTTTTTTATCAGAAGAGTTTTCAGCTCCGTATTGACCTTCTGACCGTCCTCATCATCTGAAGACACAATGCCCACCCAATTCCAGCCAAAATGCTTCAGTAAGAGGATGATGGTTGCAAATTGGTCCTTCACATCAGGGACTGTGCTATAGAATGAGGGAAACTGGAACTTACTATAGAAAGTTGGATTCATTGCGCCATAGCTGATCTGTAGTAACAAAAAACAAATTCAAATATAATTCAAAGTCATCAAAGCAACTCTGGGCAAAATGTCTCCTCTTAGACTGGGCACAAACAGTTGCTGGTCCTTGTTGACTGGCCACTCAGGAACCATCATTGCCACTTGGTGGTGGACAGAGTTCTCACTATGTATAAGCTCTGACTAGGTTGACTTAAAGATTACACAGGGCTTCCTCTCTTCATTTCCAGTGACAGGGGAGAAGAAAATAGATGAGTATGTAACGTTAGGGTTGGGGGGAAATTAAATTGCTCACAAGTGGTACGTTCAATAACTTGTTTGTTAACTAAATTTAATTTATACCACCGCCCTGGAAGAAGTTACAACTGGCCTGGGTAAACTTCAATTGTTTAAACGCCAATTTTTTAACGCCACTTAGCTTCCAGGCACTTTGTTCTCCAAGCCCTGGATCTTTTAGAATATTCAGTCCATTGTTCTAGACCTGTGTTATTCACATTACCTGAGGATACTGATAGATCCCCGTCAGTGCTGCTGATGCCAAAGATGAGGGAATGGTCCTGTGACCTATGAACCCAACCACTTTATTCTTCTTATGACAATCAAAGTTTGGAATTGGATCCTCTGACCCGGATAAGACATCCAGAACACTCTGTACAGCTTCATGTTCCCGGTTACATGTATCATAAACCTGGAATCCCAACGTGATGTTCGGCAGCAGGTCTGTTCTATTGTTAATTTCCTCTATAGCAAATATGAAGGCCAGAAGATGTCTCAGATACATGTGAGGATATCTGAAGAGAGACAATTAATCTTGCTTTGTATGCAACAAAAATCAATAATACACTGTTCTATAAGTATTTAAGCAAATAATGTACAACTAGATTATGATTCCTAACACAAGATTAGAAATGGAGGCAAAAATGGAGGCAAAAATGGAGGCAAAACAAAGCAAGTTTGGATAAAGCATGGATGCTTCCAGCTGAGTTACACAAATGTACCCTGAACTGTGTTTGACTGGAAGAGAAGAAGTATAGAAGAACAAGTGGCTGGGTTTAAAATGGCATCTTTTCCATACCCATTTTTAATGGCGGGTGGAGGTGACACTGGAGTGTCAATTCTTGGTGTCACTTCAATTGCAACCCCTCTTTCTTGATAATGATGATCATGGTGTTTTGTTGAATTGGCAAGCAAGGCATAAGCGTAAAATCTAAACTTTTCAACTATTAGTCCCAAGCAAAAGAAACTGAGGACTCATGGATACCCTAAAGCCTTGGTTCTCAACTGGAGGGTCATGACCCAAAAGTGGGTCGCGACCCCATGTTCAGTGGACAGTAGAAAGGCATCATGGCACACTCACAAGTCAGCATGTAAAACAACTTGTCTCACCACTAAGGTTAATAACAGAGGTTTGGATACACGTCTTCATTGGGTCACGACATGCCTTCCTTCTAGGTGAGAGACTCCTCAGCCTCACCATAGCGCAGCACCGTCAGTTCTTGTGCCCTTCAACTATTCAAAATATGGACCTGCGTGTCAGCTTGAGGTGGGGTGGGCTGGAAGTATGGCCATAAGTGAGCTCCATCAATACGTGCATTGCTTACAGTTCCCACATGTGCCCTGTAGACCTCTACAGGGCGAGCAAGGGAGCTGTACAAACAATGCACACATGGATGGAGCTCCGTCACAGCACAGCAGTCCACACTGGACATCAGGCTGAGGATCCATTCCAGTTCTCATATGGTAGGGAGAGTGGATCTTAAAAAAAAATATATATCATTTTTTTGGAGTGTGTGTGTGTGATAATGTATGTGTGTGTGTGTGAGATTGTGTCTATGGTTGTGTGTGTCGGTCACTGTTTTTGAGGGTCCGTTCACACTAGTACAATGCGTTAATCACACAGTGATTAATGCACTGTACCACGCAAATTGCACCTACTGCATGTTCTGATGTGGAAGGCGCGTTGTGTAACCATTAATTTAAATGACACCCCAAATGAACCTCCTACCCACAGTCCGATCGCCTGCACCCAAATGCCACACATTCCATTGCAGTGCAATTTGGGTTGCGACTTAATGACCAAGGACAAATGTGGGTCCTGAGGTTACACAGGTTGAGAACCACTGCCCTAAAGTATACGGCAACTGTGCTGCTTCACCTATTGGGTTTCCTTCCTTTATACCACATCAGATATCTTTTGCGAATGCCTGTAAATGATATTTAAAAAATCCAGATACTGGTCTTAGACTAGTGTAGCCCCCACCTCCTTCAGTGGAGTGGCTACTAGAAATGTAGCTTTGTTAGTACTGTAATCAGTCTGGCTGATTTGTAGTTTGTTATTATCCAGTTAATTCCAGGTGTTGTTCCTGCCTGAGTGGGGCAGCCAATAGAGGAGCATCATGAGTGTCTATGCCTCACCAGCTAATCGCTAGGAGTTTCATGGCCAGTGGTGCATGCAAGGGCAGTACAAATATATTCAGGGATTGCCATGAGCTCAAGGTCAGTCTGCCCCTAGGCTTGGCTTCGGGGTGGCATGTACAATGTTGGAGAAGCTGACTAGGCCTCAAGCCTGGAGGAGGCCCCATGTGGACCCAGGTGGGGTCTAGAATTGTCTGGGGAAGAGAACCAGAGAAGTCTTATGGCTAATAAAGGTACCAGGAGCTGATATGGACCTCAGGAACAAGTCTGGTGTCTCTCCCATAGAAGATCTCATGCACATCCCTATTCAGCTGTGGCTCTATTGCCCAGGGTCAGCCAGTTCTCCTAATGATTCTGCACTGTGGAAGCCTGAAGGGATTGGTGAGTCTGAAGTCTGTTCTATTTTTGCTATGAATGTCTGAAGCCCTACACCCTCTCTCCCAGTTATGCTGTTCTGCAATAAAGGATTTAAAAAGGCACTTAAAGTGACTGGTGCCCAATTTATTGATCACAGGTCCCTTCACTGGCAGAGGCCCCTGAGAATGAAATATCGGCCCTCCCTGCCCTTTGGGGGTCCACCTCATGCCTCTGGGGGTCAGGGGTGCTACACTAATATACTTTTTAAAATATCTTTAACTTTTATTGCAAATAGAGTATTTAGTACAAAGGTACAAACATCAGATATTACCAAAGGATTCGTATAAAAGCACCAAGATAGGGGGGCAAACTCCATGTATAACATTTCATCATGACATAAGGAAATGTTGTAATTATTTTCCCTCAGTATCTAGTGAACAAGAGATATAGTAGATGCAATTAAATAAAAGTAAGCTGTGGGACCTTAACAAGGAAAGGAGGGGAAGGAGAAGGAAGGGACAGGGGACAAGGTAAGGAAGAACAAGTATCTTAAGGCAGTAGGTCTCGTCACTTAAAGCTACCATCTCAATAGGAATTGCAGTGGAAGCATTATATAGTATATCTGAGAACAGGGTCAAGGACCTGAGTCTTGCAAATATTAATACTTATAGGCATAGTGAACACACTGCTCAAATCCAAGCAGTATGTGTAAAGCTGCAATGGGTCAATAAGGTGTGCTTCAGTGCTCATGTGCTAGCAAGGAACATGTTGATAGGTAGAGGGTAGAATGGCAGACGGATGAGCTCATCTGTCTGCTGCTTTTCCTTTGACTTTCCATTTACAGCTTTGTAGAGGAACAAGACCTGCAAGTGTTTCTTAACTGCAGCAGAGAAAAAGGACACAGGACAGGATGGGCAAACATTTGCTTGGAGCTCAGCTTCAATTACATCGATATGAAAAGGTCGCTTCAAACACTTGTTAAACGCTTTGTTCCCATCTTTTACAACTGAGGACTGCACAGGGATGTGTCGTGTGGAGGAGTCGGGACTTTCCATGAATCCAAATTACTTACTGTGTACATTTGTCCATTGCCTGATTTTTCGAGCGAAAGGAAGGTGATGGACGAATGCTTCCAGACGATGATATTTCTAAGATTCCTCCAACAATCATATCACCTTCTCTAGTATGGTAATCGGGTCTGTCATAGATCATCTCCAAATGGCATGCCGGTGTCCTCACATCATCTGCCTCATTATCTGTCATGGCCGGCAGAACACACATAAGCAAAAGACAGTTTGAAATTTTCCTGAACATTTTGATCTGTAAATCAGGAGAAAAATAGAGAAACCTACAAACTCAAGGGAATTTTTTGCAACTTTTGCATCAATATATTTAAATGTATGTCCATAATCTTAGCTCTATGTGTAAAAGTTTTTAAGACCTTATTTTTGTGCATACTTTGTGAATATACAGTATATGCATACATTGTTCAGTGCATACTCAGGACCTACTTCACAGTATTACACAATGTCTATACTTTACTGCTCCTTTTCACAGTAGGAGTAAGCCAACCCCCTGAAAAAAATGCCCTCCCTGTGTGGCCAATAAACTAGCCAATGTCAAACAAACAGTGATGATGAAACTGGCCTGAGATTGCTTTGTTTACACGTTTGTTAAAGCAAGCCAGATATCTGGGTGTTGAAGAATGTCTAGTTCCCTGTGGAGCAATAGGGGGAGGAAGGGACATGGCTGATGCAGGTCAGACCTGAACAAGAAGGAGTTAGGTGAGTATTGGATGGAAGGGTGTTTTTTCTGTTGGGTTTGAAAAGGGGCTAGCATAGTGATAGGTGGGTTTAGCTTGGGGGGATGGAGTTAGGGGGCCATCTTACTGTACAGTGGGAGGTGGGAGAGAAAAGCAATTAGTCAGGGGGTGAGCTCTGTGTTTTTTGGCTAGGATAGTAGTCCCTTACCAGGATGGCTGCAGCTCTGGAATCTTTGCTTCAGCGGATTCGGGATCAGGCATCGACCCATGGCCCGGATTGGGTGAGTCGGCAGCTAGATGATGTATTCCCCACACCATCCCAGGACTTTGGTAGGAAGAGGAGGAGTAGGCCACCGGAGCGTCTGAGCCCTGATGTCACCTTGGGTCGGGAGCGGAGGAGGCTGAGTCCCGCAGGGGAACGTTCAGCTGCATCACAGAACTCCAAAAGGGGGGTGGGGGGGAGGAAGGGGAGTAGTACTGCTAAACAGGGTGTTAGGAGCAGTGCCAGGAGGGGTAGGAGCAGTGCTTCACGCCACTTCCCATTTCGGACTCGGCAAAGAGCAGCACTTACGTGTGCTTTGCCGGCCCCCTGGGGGCACACCTTAAGCCTGAAGTTAAGGAGAGGGTGTGGAAAAGGGAATTTGTGGACATTTTTACCTTGCTCCCATTGGAGAGTTTGGTTAGGTGTTGTACCGAAGAAGGATCCGGGAAAATTTCGGCTCATCCATCGCTTGTCCTACCTGAGGGGCTCCTCGGTGAACGATGTGATTGATGATGAGTTGGTGAGGGTGCAGTATGCTTCTTTTGATGAGGCGGTCACACTGGTCCGTAGGGCTGGTTTGGGCGCCTTGATGGCTAAGGCCGATATTGAGTCGGCTTTTTGCCTTCTGTCAGTACATCCGGATAGCCAGCAGCTATTGGGTTGCTTCTTTGAGGGTGGGTTTCTATGTGGACCGTTGTCTTCCAATGGGGTATTCAATCTCATGCGCCTATTTTGAAGCATTCAGTACGTTTTTGGAATGGGTGGTGAAATCTGTTTCTGGTCAGAGGACTATATTATCCTCTGATTTCTTCTGTGTTGGCCCAGCCGAGTCTCGGTTATGTTTGGTGCTTCTGGAGATGCAGAAATCTGTTTTTCAGCGATTTGGTGTTCCACTATCGGTATGAAGTTATGAAGTTTCTGGGTATAGAAATTGATTCCCTGCGGGGGGAGTGCAGGCTTCCTGAGGAAAAGTTAGTGGAGTTGT